AGATAGATAGATAGATAGATAGATAGATAGATAGATAGATAGATGATAGATGGATGGATAGGGATGGATGGATAGAGATAGAGAGAGAGATGGATGGATAGACAGACAGAGATTTATGGATAGACAAGACAGACCCATACATATAAACATACATATAAATATTACATCACTGTCAGGGGTGGGATTCAACCGGTGTTACTACCGGTTCGGTTATTACGTTTTGTCCATTTTGACAAAAACATGAACCAGTCGCGAAGCATCCAAATCTTGATCATGTAACCAGGGGGGCTGCTGCAACAGTCTTTGAGTGTGAATAACGGTCCCAAGTCCTCTTTTCCCAGCGCTGTTGTAACTTCGGTCCCTAAACGAACTGCTGTTAAGTCGAGGGCTGCCTGTCCAAAAAGTGGGGTGGGGAGGTGGGGAGTTCAATACCACAACGACTCCCACCCAGGTCCCTGGATCACCCCACCCACCCGCTCCTCCCGAGGCTCTTTTCCTCCGGGTCGGAGAAGGCAAGAGGGCTGTGTATTGTGTTGTCAGCGGTTTCCTCCCGCGAGAAAGAAGGCGGGGATGGGGGGGGGGGCGCCGCCGGGGACCTAGCAAAGGAGGGAGGGGAGTCTGTTCTGAGCCTCGTCTCTCTAGGAAGAAGCGCTCAGGTCCGAGGAGGCGGAGGGGACAGGGACGTTCCGGGGGAGAGCGGATCCCCGGGAATCGGTTAGAGCTGGCCCGATCGTTTGCCGCTGGGAAGCGCGATCCCGCTTTTCCCGGGGAGGCGGAGGCGGGGAAGGAGAATCCCGGAGCGGCTGAGCGTCCGGAGGCTGCTGGCCAGGCCGGGCGAGGCGCGGAGGGGAAGCCTCCATGGCCTGGCGGAGGAGGAGGAGGTCAGCAGCAGCAGCGCTGAGCCCGAGGAGGAGGAGGAGGAGGCCCGGGCTGGAACCAGGCGACGGGTAGAGCCTCCCCGAGGATCCGCCGGGCTCCGAGGCCGAGCGCTTCCGCCGCTTTGGGCAGCCGGGCGTCGGCGGGGCCCTGGGCGGTCGGCGGCCGCCTGCAGCGGCTTTGCTCCCCCCGAGAGGAAGAGCAGCAGCCGAGGTCCTGGCCGGGCTGCCCCCGGAAATGGCGGGCTGTCTGCTGCGGGAGGGCCTGGCCAGAGGCTGCCCGCTCAGCTCTCCTCAGGCTCAGGAGCGGAGGAGAAAATGGCAGTTGTGGGGGGGGGGGATATCTCCTCTTTGGAGGATCTCCTCGTGGCGTGGTTTCCTTTTAACTAGCCGTCCACCTCAGAGGCAGGTGGTAGGGAGCAATAGAAGAGGCGTTGGTTTCCCTCCGTTTTCAGTCCCAGAGCCCTCTTTCCCCTTCTCCACATTATTACTCCTCAGGAGGATTTCCCATCTCTGACTATGGATATCCCCATCTCTGGAGACAGCAAATGCAAGTTGTAACAATAGAAGAGACTTTGGTTTCCCTCAGTGGTGGGATTCAATTTTTTGATTTACTACCAGTTCTGTGGGCGTGGTGTGGTGGGTGAGGCAGGGGAAGGATATTGCAAAATCTCCTATTCCATCCCACTCCTGGGGAAGGATATACTGTAAAATCCCCATGTCCTCCCCACCCCACTAAGCCTGCTTTCCAGCTCCTTTCTCCTGTGCAGGGCAACCAAAAAAGACCCAGCCAATCAGCTGGGACTCGGGAGGCAGCGAATAGATGGGAGGCAGGGCCAGTCAGAGGTGGTATTTGCCGGTTCTCCGAACTACTCAAAATTTCCACTACCGGTTCTCCGGGCCTCGTCAGAACCTGCTGAATACCACCTCTGGTTTCCCTCCATTTTCAGTCCCAGGGTTTTCTTTCCCTGCCCAGATTATTCCATAGGAGGAAGAGGGAATCCCAAGGAAATTCCCATCTCCAACTATGGATATGACACCATCCAGCTTTGGAGACACGAAAAAAGAATCCCCTTGTTCCAGTGTTCAGTTCTTTTTAACTTTGTTCTTCTTTGACCCTGGCTGTGTTTTAAATGGTAGGGCCAACTGATGAAGATGGACACGGTACCTCCTGAAGGTGGAGAAAATCTTTCGGGTTTCCCTATGGAGCAGGTGTTGGGCTTCTCGAAGGAGGATCCAACTCAGGTCTTGTTGCCAGGTAAATGAAAAGTTGCTTCTGCAGGCTGTGAAGCCTGAAGTCATTTCATTCTTGTGTTTCTTCTACACATTGTTCTGCCTTCAATTTACACTGCTTCCCCATAGCTGACTCGCCCAGCTTCCAAATATTCTTTACCCCTCTCTTTTTATCTTGATTACAGGGAATTCAGAGTTGTGGATGGAAACCGCTGAAACATCTCCTCTGTCTGGTGGAGCCACAACATCTCAGGTAAGGAACCTTCATCAGAACAGGAAGTCCTTTAGAGGGTTCATCTGTATCCGGAACAACTAGACACAAGTTTTCCCCCCGAAAATGATCACTCCGCTAAACAAATAATTTATTTATTTATTTATTTTTCTTTGTCAATTGCTCACAAGATAATAGGTATAAGTAAATACATAGTTATGAATACATGAAATGGGTACATATAAGAAAAATAAAAGAAACAATAGGACAGGGACATTAGGCACATTGGTGTGCTTATGCACGCTCCCTACAGGCCTCTTAGGAAAGGGGTGAGGTCAATAGTAGACAGTCTAAGGTTAAAGTTTTTGGGGTTTGGGGAAGAAACCACAGAGTCAGGTAGAGTATTCCAGACATTGACCACTCTGTTGCTGAAGTCGTATTTCCTGCAATCAAGTTTGGTGCGATTAACCTTGAGTTTGTATCTATTGTTTGCTCTTGTGTTGTTATGGTTGAAGCTGAAGTATTCATTGACAGGTAGGACATTGCAATGTATGATTTTATATACTATACTTAGATCGGACCGAAGGCGGCGTAGTTCTAGGTTTTCTAGGTCTAGAATTTCGAGTCTGGTGGCATAAGGTATTCTGCAACAAGTAGAGGAGAACTCTTCTTGTGTTTTCCCTTCTTGTATCCTTACATTTTATATTGACTGTTTCCTAGTATGATTTGATTGCCTATTTGTACCCTATGACTATCATTAAGTGTGTACTTTATGATTCTTGACGAATGTGTCTTTCTTTTATGTACACTGAGAGCATTCGTACCAAGATAAATTCCTTGTATGTCCAATCACACTTGGCCAATAAAGAATTCTTTTTCTTTCTTTCTTTCTTTCTTTCTTTCTTTCTTTCTTTCTTTCTTT